ATGCTGTCCCCCAGGCTCCAGAGGACGAGGGCACCTCACTGCCTCTCCCCGCTTCATCATGCTGCTCAGTCACCACCCAGCCTCTGCCTGGCAGCAGGGTCTTCCACCTCCCGGCTCCCAAAAGCTGTTGTGTGTTTTTTATGCTGATTTTTTTAAGTGCTGCTTTTAAATTTCTTTGCGTTTCAGTTTTCATAATAAGGCTGGATGAGCCAGCAGGCAGAAAGCCTTCAGATCTAGGAAAAAAAGAAAGAACACAGAGATCCTGGTGGTATGCTTGTTTCCCTGCACGAAGTTGGCAGGGAGTCTAGAGAGTGCTGAGAAGGGGTGAGGGGAGAGGGCTGCTGTGCAGAAAAAGGAACTGATAACCCTTCAGGAAAAGGAGGACAATGAGAGGGTGGACTTGGAAGATGTGATGACGTCCTCAACAACAGAGTAGCTCAAAGGGGCCAGAGCCATGCTGAAGGCAAGCAAGCTCTGTGTCCTGGCCACCACCCATGTCAGGAAGGACCAAGCAGGTGTCCTGTCGTCTCCGCCCCAGCAAGCCCACAGCCTCCCAACGGATCCTCACACCTACATGGCAGAGGCATTCCCCCACCCCAGCTCTGTTTACTCCCCCAGGTAGCCTGTGGGATTTCATTCATGGGAAGGGGTGCATCAGGATGGGCTCACATTTCTCTAGTGACTGCTCAGGCAGACACTGCCTGGACTTGGATATGCATTCTATCATGTAATCCTCACCCCACAGCTGTGAGGTTGGTATTGTCTCCATTTTATGGATGAGAACTCTGAAGCTCAAGAGGATTAAGGAACCTGCCCAAAGTCACACAGTTTGTGAGAAAAAAAGCTGGGCTTTGATCTAAAGTCAGCTTCATTCCAAAACCTGTATTCTTTCTACTGGACCACCATGCATCCTCCCTGTGGGCTAGCCACACGCTGCTGCACCTGGACGCCAGTTAATGGCAAGCTTAGTAGTATCCGTTACTAGTAAATGTCACCCAGGACAATAAACAGTGGCCATCGATAAAGCAGACGACATAACTAGTGAAACTACTAAGTTAAAAAGAGTACAAATTCTCCATTGCCCTGGAGGTGGTGAAACCTCAAAGTGAGTAGACTTTACTCAGATGAGCCAGATGGGAGATTTGGCAAGAAAGCAGTGATTAGACTCTGGAGGTTGAGTGTTGTATTGGTTTTCGATTGCTGTGTAACAAATTTCCCACAAATTTAGTAACCTAAAACATCACAAATTTATCATCTCACATTTCCATTGGGGCTCAAGTGAGGTGAGTCTTTGGCTCAGAACCTTACCCGGCTGAAATTGAGGTGTCAGCGATGGCTCCGGCTCATCTGAGGTACAGGGTCTTCTTCTATGTTCACTGGCTGTTGGCAGGGTTCTGTTCCTCTTAGTTGTAGGAAAGAAGTCCTGTTTTCTAGTTGGCTGGCCTCCAGGATCACTCTTAGCTCCTCAGCTTCTAGACATGGCAGCTTACTTCCGCAAAACCAACAAGGGAACCTCTGCTTTTATGAAAAAAACAAGTCTCACAGCCCAGCTGGCATGGCTCAGTAGTTGAATGTCAACTTATGAACCAGGAGGTCATGGTTCAATTCCTGATCAAGGCATATGCTTAGGTTGCGCACTCAGTCCCCAGTGAGGGACCTGCAGGAAACAGCCAATCAATGATTCTCTCTTTATCATTGATGTTTCTATCTCTCTCTTCCTCTTCCTTCCTCTCTGAAATCAATCTATATATATAAAAGCCTAATATGCAAATTGTCCCCTCAGTTGTTCGACTAGGAGACCAGGAGTTAGATGCTTACTTGATGTACCACCAAGGAGAAGTGTGGAATGAAGAAAGGCCCCAGCCAGCAGTTGGAAGGCCCCAATCAGCCCTGATAGCCAGCCAGGCCTAGGGACCCTACCTGTGCATGAATTTCATGCACAGGCCTCTATTAAAAATATATATATATATATTTTAAAAACAAACATACAAGTCATATAATGTAGCATAATCTAATCACTTTGATAATTTACCATATTATTGCCATATTATTAGGTCTTGTCCACACTTAAGGAGAGGACTTATACAGGATCTGTATCCCAGATGCTGGGAATCTTGGGGTCTATCTGGGAACTCTGTCAACAGGAGTATTTTAGTCTGTCCTTCATGTTGTTGTGGCCCAATGGGACTTGAACCTCTCAGTATGCCATAGAACACATGAGTCTCCTGAATCTCTTAGATGTCCAGTTTTAGCCACTGGTGTCACGCCCAATGTCTCTCTTCTTGCACTTTGCTCTAGTTATGTCAGAGTTCCCAACTTTTTTCTCTCTCCCCTGTACTCCTGAGAGCTAAGGCTCCATGAGAATCAGTGGGCCTATTTTTAGGGATGCTAACCTGCACGGGGAAGCAGAAATTTATCTCATCATGGACATCTTAGTGGAAAAGTTTTAGTAACAGCTCTAAATAGGCCTCACGCCATAGATACACCTGATTTTTAGCTTAAGACAGGTATACTCTCCAGGGATCCGAGTAACGGCCACTGAGTTCCCAAGGGAATTATCTGCCCCAAACCCCTGAAGTAGGAGAAAAATGCTGACCCGTCTGGAGGTGGCCTGTCGGATCTGGTCCTCTCCCTGCCTTGCCTGCCAGGTGCACTCACAGTCTTTGGCAGCCTTGCCATTCTAATATGAAAATAACCCAAGTCCTCACTCAAAAATAACATCTGCTGATTTGCATAAGAGTTTTTATTTTCCTATTCGGGTTCAATACCCAAATGCTAAGATTCATTTGTTTGACCTTAGGTAAATGGTTTAGAGGTTCAACCAATAAAAAATCCTTGTGGGGTTCCACTCCGATGCACCCAGCCCAGTCCCTATGCTGACAGCTCTGTTCTCTCGCCAGCTGGTACTGTACTCACGTTGGATTGACTCTCGTGTGAATTATGGGTTAAAAGGGACAATTCTGTTCACCTGAAGGCTTGTTGTTTTGAAAAGGGTCTCCAGCAGGTGCATCTCTCCAAGTTGATGGAGAGCTCTGCTGTGTGCTCCAAGCCGCTGAGTCCTCAGGGTCTCGATTCCCAATGAGCAGCCCCTCCTTGGAACCCCCTGGGCCTGGGTGTGAGGGCAGCAGCTATAGAGTGAGAGGTTGGAGAGATGACTGCAAGGAAGGTGTCAATGAATGAAATTGCAGGGCTACGTTCTCCATAAAGGCAATTACTGGGATTGTCTGGTTCTGAGTTTCCTTAGTCACGGTTCAGCTTGCTTGTTTCACCAGACTGAGACAGACGAATGCCAAATCACATAGGCGTGTAGCATCAGGAGAATTTTCAGTAGCACATCCAAGGCCCCTGCCTTGTTGTACAGATGCCTGGGGGTCTTCACCGGGCTGAAAGGGAGCCATCTGTACACTGGTGAGGATGGGTACTGTGGACTTCCGGATTTTAGATAATGCGTTATCTCTGTTTACTTCCTATGCATGAAATAGTGAGGCGGTTTTCCCACTTGGGTGTGCATCAGTAGGCCCAGAAGGGCTCATTAAATTCAAAAGGGCTCCCAGAGTTTCTGATTCAGTGGGTCGGTTGGACACAAGAATTTGCATTTCTAATAAGTTTCAGGCGCCTGCTGCTACTACTACTACTACTACTACTACTACTACTACTACCACCACCGGTTCAGAGACCCCACTTTGAGAATCAGTGGGGATGGACACTGGGCCCAGACCACCAGACCTTCAAACCCAACTCAACTATTCATTGGCTGTGTGATCATGAGCCATTTTCTTAACCTCTCTGTGCCTTTGTTTTCTTCTCTTTAGAGCAGGGTAATAATAAATAGTACCTTGTTCCTGGGCTGGATTGATTAGAATGTAGGCCAGTGCCTGGGGTACAATATGTGCTATGGAGATGGAGTGGATCAGTCCAACTCTTATTATACCCTAAACCTGCAGTGGAGTTGCTGGGTCATTTTACTCAATTGTCTTCAATCCCATTTCCAGTAGCCAAGAAAGTTAATGCCAGGTTGGTGCCAGCAGGGGGAAGGTTACATCAACATCCTTCAAAATCCTCTTGTTGGCTTGGCCAGTGTTGCTCGGTGTGTTGGGCTCCATCCCATACACCAGGAGGTCGCAGATTTGATTCCTGGTCAGGGCACATGCCCGGGTTGCAGGCTCGATCCCCAGTAGGGGGCATACAGAAGGCCGCTGACCGATGTTTCTCTCCCGTCCTCTCTCTGAAATCAATTTTTAAAAATTTTAATCCTTTTATTAAGCTACCTTAATCTTTAAAATCTCACTGAATCCACAGAATGTAACTCAGTGAAACTGGGACACTAGGGCGGTGAGCATTCGGGGTTCCTCTCCCCTGTGCCGTCACAAAGAGGGGCGGGCTGCCTTTATGTCAAGCTCAGCTGTAGCCTCACACTGAATGCTGACTCTCTGCCCTGGATTTTATTCAACCCTCACGTCACTCTTAAGTAATAATTAGCATCCGTGTTTTAATACTGTTAGGGTTCAGAAGAGTTCACCAACTTGTCTGTCCAAAGTCACATAGCTATCAAGTGATAGGCCCAAACTAAAAGCCAGGTCTCTCTGACTTCAGTAATGAATGATCTTAACGTTCTGCTATGCCTCCTGCCTAGCTTTATATGAATGTTTATAAAAGGGTGAGGCTGGGGCCCTGGGTTCCAGCAGTAATCGCTGTTGCCCAAAGGCAGACACCCAAAGCTGGAATTGCCTCTGATTCAGGGTTTGCTTCTCTCAAGCCGGGGGCATGGCTCTTGCCTTCCATTGCTGGGCATTCTCTCCAGCCTGACTTCTGGAAGAAATTTTGTGTTCACGTTGCCAAAGGCGGCTTTTCTTGTCTGAATTTGGATATTGACCTAGTATCTGGGCCTTTCTGGTTGCAAACAGTGTTCCCAAGCAAGTGGTCAGAAGAGCATCCAGAGCCTATACTGAAGATGCAAAGAGAAAAAACGGTACACTAATGAAACCTTCTCTTTTCCACAGTGTTCCTTCTTGCCAAAATTCTCCATTCATATAGAAACCAAGTATGAGGACAACAAAGGAAGCAATGACAGCGTGAGTAGCACTCTCTCCCCCTACCTACCCCATGCCATACCGTGTTCTTGCCTTTGGGCTCTGAAAGCCATAGTCCTTTTCAGGCCCTTGTGGTGTCCAGGGCCAGCAGCAAGAACTGTGCCTGGAGCCTCAGAGTTCAGGCTTTGGCTTCTGAGGGCTAGTGTCCTGGGATTCCTTTCTGGATTATTTTGTTGTCTAGTTTTTCTTCTCATTTTTATGTGCAGGAATTTCTGTGACCTGGAGTGATTGTCACTGGGGATTGAGAGGATGGTGGGTGCCTGGAACTCCAGGATTTGATTGCTGATCATTGGGTTGAACACATATCTTCTCATGTTAACATTTATTTATAGAGATGAAAGAATATAATCAGATATATGTGCACATTCGACATATATTTCCAGCTCATTGCCTTCACCAGAGTTTCTGGAACTTTCCAGAGGAAAGGAGAATGTAGGTGGCAAGAGTACTCTCTCCCCAATAAGTTCAGGGTCCCCAGTAGTTAGTATCCGCTAGTGGGTAGTAACCCCAATGGAAAAGTTTAGGACCCTCTCCTTGTCAGCAACCTAAAATCGAAGGTACTGTGGTGGCCATTTTCACCAAGACCTTATTATCTATAATGGTGTTGCACGATGTTTAACTTGAATCCTTGTAAAACAACAGCTTTTTTCTGATTGGAAAATTAACACATGGTTATTGAAACTTGAAAAATGCAAAGGAAAAAAGAAAGAAAGAAGAAAAACTAGTACTAATTTCATAATTCAGAGATGACTACTATTAGCATTCTGGTTCATGTTGCAGATTATTGATGAATTTTTTTTAACCATTTCTCCTACAATGAGTCATATAATATGCTGGGGTTTTTTTTTGGGGGGGGGTTGTTTTTGTTTTTTGTTTTTAATATATTTTATTGATTTTTTTACAGAGAGGAAGGGAGAGAGATAGAGAGCTAGAAACATCGATGAGAATCATCGATCAGCTGCCTCTTGCACACCCCCTACTGGGGATATGCCCGAACCCAAGGTACATGCCCTTGATCGGAATCGAACCTGGGGCCTTCCATTCCTCAGGCCAATGCTCTATCCACTGAGCCAACCAGTTAGGGCCCCAGCGTGATTTTTTTATTGGCTGCACTGCATTCCACACTTATATTCCTTAAATAAATGCCACTGGACAGGGAAGTGGGCTTGAATGTCAGGAAAAGGGGGGTGCACTCAGATGTTTGAATTGTTTTGCCTGGCACAACAGTATAAATTTTTTTTAAGATCTTATAATCTTTCCACACAAATTCTTCTTTCTCTTTTTCTGTAGGGCTTTGTCCTCATGCATAGTTATAAACTCCTCCATTTGTGAAGGTCTAAGGAGGTCACATGGCCTTACCGTGATCCCCGTAGGTTCTTAGAAACAGCATAATCTTCTGGTTTATCCTCCATTTGGTTCAAACAGCCAAAAAATTCACATTATTATCATTTATTGTATTCCTTTTTGACAGGTGCAAAGTTCTTTTCACCACTCTCCTAGGAGTTTAGCTTTGTTACTCCTCTCCTAATAATGTAAAATACTAGGTTATCCACCTAGAATCAGCAGCATCTACCCGTGGCCAAGGCCGGGTCTCTCTGAGACTTAGGCCAGCCTGCAAAAGGAGCATGAAACCAGGGGCATTTGTGCAGAGTCCTTGTCACACAGTGTGCTTCCTCTGGGAGAAATTCGAGCTATTGTACCTGCTTTACTTCCTCCCCAATTTGCTGATTCTGAGACTACCACTGGGTCAGCTCCTTATCTCTGTCATAGCACCCAGCTCGCCCAACTCGGTATCCCACCATCTTGTTACACAAAAGAGGTCCTACTGGCTGGTATGGCCCAGTTGGTTGAGCATCATCCAGTACATCAACCAAGAGGTTGCTGGTTCGAATTCCAGTCAGGATACCTGCCCAGGTTTTGGGCTCTATCCCCAGTAGGAGGCGTGCAAGAGGCAGACAATTTTTCTTTCTCTTTCCTTCTCCCTCTTTCAGAAATCAATAAAAACATATTTATTTATTTATTTATTTATTTTTTTTTAAGAGGTCCTAAGCGTGCTTTTGCTCAGGTTTCCATTTCAGCCTATGCCTGGCTTTTCTTCCGAGATCCCTAGATCTTGCTTCTGAGGCCTCTGGACCAGATGGGCCAACTCCAACATGGTTAGATTTCTTTGCCACTTCCCCTTCCTCTCATTTACATACTCAGCAATAGTTGTTGATCACCCAGCTGGTCCAAGGGTGGTCCCAGGGAGCCAGAAAAGGAAGACCTTATTGGTTTTCATTCATTCATTCATAGTTAGTTAATGCTTTGAAATCAAACCATGAGAAATATATTTTTTATGTAATAAAGCTTACTTTAATTATTAAAAGACTAGAGGCCCGGTGCATGAAAATTCATGTACTTGGAGGGGTGGTCCTTCAGCCCGGCCTGCACCCTCTCACAGTCCAGGACACCTCAGGTGATATCTAACTGACAGTTTAGGCCCGCTCCTCAGAGAGACTCCCGCCACCGCTGCTGTGAGCTGGCTTCTGGCTGAGCAGCGCACCCCCTATGGAAATGAACTGACCTCCAGGAGGCAGCTCCTGTGTTGAGTATCTGCCCCCCTCGTGGTCAATGTGCATCATAGCCACAGGTCGTTCCCAGCCGTTAGAGTCAATTTGCACATTACCCTTTATTATATAGGCTACTTTTGTCACAGGTTCAGAACTGGAGCCTTCAGCAGATGGCCTGTGCTGGCATGTTCTTTTTCTATCTATGCATGAGGATGCGGTGTTTGGTGGGAGACAGAGTTGCTAAAGAAAGCAGTGCAGTAGTGGATATTTCTCTTCTTACTGCTTTGACAAATTATTTAATAAACTCCCATTCTTTGCATGTTCTGGGTGTATAGTCTTATCATTCAGCTGCCATTCTTCATACTGATGTCTGCAACCTGTTTGCTCCCTACCTGCTAAAGATTTAATGAAATTGATGGCACGAAGCAATGGATAAATTGATAGACGCTAGTGATAATCATATTGATTAGTGATTGAATAGAGTACATGTTGTTATCCTGTTATCAGTGACCATGTAAGTAATATTTTTTCCATGACCCAATATCTAGTTTAAAATTTTTTTTCATGTTGAGATGATTAGGTTTGAATATCTCTTCCTCTGTGTGAAAATAAAACTTGTATATTTATGATTGTGAAGATCTGTAAATTGTGAATCCATTAGCCAGAACACAATGGGGAAGTTATCTTAAATTGAGGTCCATTTATTTTATGCACATACTGACGAGAATTATTTAAGCTGTAATTAGTGCTGGGGATGATGGCACCATGCCAAGTTCAGGTTCTGTTGTTTGCCCAAGGCCATAAACCTCCATGGGGAGAGCCAGTGCTTAGCACTCGTGATGGCTGCTGCCAGGTTACTGTCGTTCACCGGGGTTAATGGGGGCAGCTTTGCCCTTCCTTCCTCTTCCAAACAAAGCAGCACCATTAATGTGGTGGTTCTCAGCTTGGCTGCACATGGGCCTCACCTGAGAGGTTCAGCGGTGGCTTAGCTCACGCCTGGCTTCCACTCCACTGGGATTTAATTGGCCCTGGGCACAGGCTGGTCTAACTAGTCAACACACATGAAGAGCAGAGCATTATCCCTCTAGGAGAGCTGAATTTGTCAATTGGGAGTATATGCAGTTTTAGAGTCTGCCCTCCAGTTAAACCTAGTTAGTCCTCTTTGGGGTGGTGGTGTAGGATACGCCATTTATAGGATAGATCGCCACCCATTTGAGGATCTAAAGTTGGGGTAGGGAATATCCAGCCCTCAGGCCATATAAGGCCCTCAAAATCTTTCGGCCTGTTCCTTCCAAGACATTAGGGGTGAGTAAATTAAATGTTTTTATTTTTGTGTGTTTTTTAAATATATATTTTATTGATTTTTTACAGAGAGAAAGCGAGAGGGATAGAGAGTTAGAAACATCAATGAGAGAGAAATATTGACTAGCTGCCTCTTGCACACCCCCTATGGGGATGTGCCTGCAACCAAGATACATGCCCTTGACCGGAATCGAACCTGGAACCTTTCAGTCCACAGGCCGATGTTCTATCCACTGAGCCAAACCGGTTTCAGCAATTAAATGTTTGACCAAATGTAGCAGGCTAATTTTTTAGTTGATAATTTTGTATGGCCCGTGAATATTCTTATAAATATGCTAATAGCCCTTGGCAGAGAAAAGGTTCCCCACCTCTGATCTAGACAAATAGTTCTCCATCGTGACTGATAGTAAAGGCACCTGTGAAGCTTTAGCAACAATGCCACCATCCCTCCTCCTGGGGTTCTGATTTCATTTGTCGGATGGAGTCCAGGCATTAGGATTCATAACACTCCCCCAGGCGAATCTGATGGGCATCGAGGCTGAGAATATACATTTAAAAGAGATACTAAGTGTTATTTTAAAAACCAATTGTGAAACTTAGGATATCGGATTCTTTAAATGTCTCCACTTCTTCATAACCCTGGAAACAGAACAGCTTACAAAAAGCGTGTTTATAACAACCACCACCACCACACACAGAAAAAGGGCTTGCGGGCACCATATTTATTCACATTAGCCATTATTCCTGAGCAACCACCTCCTCTGAGCAGATGGAAAGAATGTGTCCAGTTCCTGGAAGCATGAGACTCTGTGCTTCACAGATCTCTCCTTGGAGGTTGCCTAAAAGAAGTATTTGAAATTGATTTAGTGTCTAACTCAGCTGTGTTGTGGTAAAAGAACACAAAGTTGTTCTTTGTGAAACAAAATGATCAGTATTGAAGTCCCAACTAGTTGGCCTTAAGCAGTGGAATCTTAGTTTTCTTATCAAGAAAATAAGAGTAAATAATGTGGAAGTGCCTGGCCGGCACGACTCAGTGGTTGGCCTATGAACCAGGAGGTTACTGTTTGATATGCCCAGGTTGCAGACTCGATCCTCAATGTGGGGTGTACAGGAGGCAATTGGTCAATGATT